GTAAAGATTACTTAGTATTAGTAAATTTTGCCCCTACTCACTATACCGCGAGTAGGGGCATGTCATTTAAACATTGAGCGGCCTGAGCGACGGGTGGAGGCCCTAAAGTAAAAAAAGGGAGGAGGACCTATCAGGGGCGTACCTAGAGCATTTGGCACTCAGTGTGCACTTCCTGTTAGTCCGGCCGGGTACAGGAGACAGCTGCTCCCTGTACCCGCGGACTATACAGGGCTCGGCCACGCTACAACAGAGGGAGCTGACAGGAGGGAGCGCTGAGCGCTTCCCTCCTGTCAGCCCCTCTCCTCAGGCTGCGCCCGGGCGGTGCGGTCCGCCCTCATGGACGCACCGCCCGGGCTGCAGCCGCCTGAGGCTCACTACAGAGCCTCGGGCGGCTGCAGCATGGGGGCGGTGGGGCTGGTCATGGCACCCCCCACCCTGGTGGCACCCGGGGCGGACCGCCCCCCCCCACCCCCCCCTTAGTATGCCACTGGGACCTATTGTCCTCCCCACCGGCCCCCACCCCCGAGCGGCGGATGGGGGCCCTAAAGTAAAATAATGGGGGGGACCTATTGCCCCCCACCCCCGGCCCCCACCCTAAATGAGGCGGCTGGGGGCCCTAAAGTGAAAAAAGGGGGGAGGACCTATTGCCCCCTACCTACCCCCTCACCCTAAAAATAATGAGGGGGGACCTTTAACTAAGTACCTGTAAAAATAAACTTACCATTTGATGTTTTCTTTCTTCTAAAATCTTCTTTTTTCAGCCCCAAAAAAGGCCAAATAAAAAGCCATAATAACCGACGCAATTAAAAAAAAAAAAAAAAATACATCTTCACCCGGCTCCGCGCAGACTGAGGTCTGCAGGGTGGGGAAGGCTTATAAAGGCTTTAAAAAAATAATAAACATTTTATCACAAATAATTAAATGTTTCATTAAAACTGACAACATAAAGACAAATGGCATTTATGAATGAAACAATTAGGCTCAGAGCACTCTGATTGGTGGGTTTAAGCCATCCAATCAGAATGCTCTGACAGGCAAATGAAGAGACTGACAGGTAAGTCTCTACATTTACCTGTCACAGCACTCTGATTGGTTGGTTTGAAATCCACCAATCAGAGTGCTCTGTGTCATTTTACACAGCGTGGGAAAGTTCTTTGGAATTTTCCCACGCTGTGTAATTTGACTCGTAACACTCTGATTGGTGGATTAAGTCCCCCCCCCCAATTTGTATTTAGGGCCCCCACCCACCACTCAATGGGGAGGACATTAGGTACCCCCTTATTCTTGTTTAGGGCCCCCACCCTCCGCTCAGTGGTGGGGACCAGGGGGGAGGACATTAGGTCCCTCCCCTTATTCTTGTTTAGGGCCCTGACCCACCACTCAGGGGTGGGGGCCAGGGGAGGACATTAGGTCCCCCCCTTATTCTAGTTTAGGGTCCCCACCCACCACTCAGGGGTGGGGGCCGGTGGGGAAGACAATAGGTCCTCCCCCCTTTTTTCACTTTAGGGCCCCCAGCTGCCTCTCAAGGGTGGGGGCCGGGGGTGGGGGCAATAGGTCCCCCTCATTATTTTACTTTAGGGCCCCCACCCGCCAATCGGGGGTGGGGGCCGGTGGGGAGGACAATAGGTCCTCCTCCCTTTTTTTTACTTTAGGGCACCCACCCGTCACTCAGGGGTGGGGGCTCAGGATGGGGGGACTTTTTTTTTTTTTTAACAGTGAGCAGTCACAGGCTGCTCACTGTTTAATAGACATGCCCCTATTTGCGGTATAGCGAGTAGGGGCATAATTTACTAATACTAAGTAATCTTTTCTTAGTATTAGTAAATTTGGCTGAAAGACCAATTTAGGTCTTTCAGCCTTTTAGTAGATAGTTCCCTAATACCGTGGGAATTAGGGAGTTATCTACTTATTCATTCCTGTCATTACATGACTGGCCAAGTAACTTACATTTTATATGAATGTATGTTACTTCATTGTTGTAAGTGTTGCAAACGCTTACAGCTGAATCCTGGCTATGTTTGTATACTTTTTATTTAAAAAGCCATAATAACCGACGCCATGTGGTCGCTTCCGCTTCAAGTTGGGACACCCTCTGGTGTAGGCTGCAAAATTCTTCCCGCATGGCTTGGAGCTCCATGTTGATAGAGGCCAGGAGTTTATCATTAGCTGCTTTCAGGTCCAGTTTCGTTGGTAAGTTGTGCAGCATTGCAATCCATTCGGGCTGTGGCGTCGTGAGGCTAGTGGCGGGTGCCTCCGTCTGTGTTTCGTTGCCTCGTGGGGAAGGCGAGAACAGTCCGCCCGAGACTGTGGAATCGTTAGAGGCCTGTGAATCCGGGTCCGGCGGGGGTACCAGGAACTGTCTCATGGTGGGGTGAGTGATTCTCTTGGGGTTGTCGGTGGGTTTGGGAGTGTTCGATGATGCTTTGCAGGGAGCTCAGGGTTTGCGCCGCCATCTTCTTTGGCTTCCAAGCCACATCCCCCGCTTTCACTTATTTCTGTTCCTCCCCACCTTTGTTTCACATTCATCCTGTTGCACTCATGTCTCTCTCTCATAATGTTCTCCTCTTATCTCTCACTTACGCCTTTCTCTCCCTCTCACTTATCTGTCTTCCACACTTTAATTATCTCTCTTTCTCTGCTTCACGGCCCCTTCCTCATTACCTTTTCTTTCTGTGTTGCTCTCACATTCAGCCTTTCTCTCTTCCATTTCCCATTTCTCTCACTCTCTTTCTCCTCTCTCTTTCCCTCTCTCAAATCTTCTTTTTCTGTCTCTTTTTCTCCAAAGAGAGCCCACCAGGTCTGGAGGCTGGATGTCTTTAACTAGGAAGTGGATCCATATTCCAGGGGTGAAGTCTTGTTTCCAACCATGTTGTAAAAATCACCAGCAGCCACAACACTGCGTACTTTGCCTTTAAATAGTTCACTGTGTGTGTTGCACTGTGAATTGCCACCATAATAGTGATCCTTACCTTGTGAGAGAAAATGTATGTCATGTTCATCAAGAGAAACTTTCAAGAGTAGAAAACAAATGGCTCTACAACTCAGACAGAAATATTTCAATTACTATAAAATATCTACCTAACATTTGTATTTGAGGTTTAGTGTAATTTCTGGGAATGTATCGGAAGGATTGCAAGATCCCGCATGCAATATTATGCTGCATTCTTGTATCCCCTTAATATATCTTTAAAGCTTGAATTAATATACGTTAAAGGTAACAAAGTTCATTCTATTTAGGTTTCCCTGAACCCTAGTGTATATACAAAATTGCTGTTCAGCCACAATTCCATGTTCTTCCAATGCAACCCTTGTTTCAAATAAATATTACGATTAAGTTTTTGTTTTTTCTTCAACTGCAAATTATTCATTGTACAAACCATCTTTTGAAAGCTTTAACACCAACAACAGTACTATTTTCACCAGCGATAATTAAAAAATGTGTTACAGCAGACAAACATGCAGGACGGAATGTATTGGTAAACAGCACGTACTATAATAAATGCTAGTAGTATGCAAAAAAGGGTAGGGTCAAGTCAAAATGAATACTAGAAGAAGAGGAACAGGTTGTAATGGTCCAATTAAAATGCTTTATGTATAAATTACAGTATATATATATAGACATGACGATACATATATACAGATATAGAAACATGCATATAATTTAGATGGGTGTATAATGCTATAAACTTGCAATTAGTTTTAACATTCTATATAATAACTATCTGCGTAATATATTCTTAGTTTGTGCACTTTACGTTATGTGGTTCAATCCCAATATTCCATGTTGGTAATTCATATATTTTTGTAAATTGAGTTTTTGTATTTTTGTTCACTGTATGTGCTCTACATATACATGCTTTTTGCTCGTGTTTTTTTTTTACTAAGATTTTTAAAAAAAATTATGTCCTCTTTTTTGTAGTTCAATTAAAAAAAAAAAAAACTAACCCCCCACATTGAATACAACTGATCATTTGAAATTATGTCCTTAAGCCATTGCATGCTTTTTATGAAAAATAAGATAAGTAATAATTAATTAAATATTGCTTACTAATGCTGAGTTTATAGATAAGATTACTGTAAATAGATTAAGTATCAATCTAATGGGGCAATCAGGTGGTCCGCAAAGAGCAGCTCTCAGAAATAGCATGACTTGGTGTCACTTTAAAGGGTTACTCCAATCCTTTGGGGCGGGTGAGAGGGGGGAACCGTTTGGTGTAAAATGCCCATTTGAGCACTAGAAATAAAGTACGCCCCACTTCAAAAAAGTCCCAGCGCTGACTTCCATGCTTCCAGCTGACATTGCATGGACCTATTGTAGTACAATCACTGGTTCCTCAGAGAGAAGCCTGTGATTGACCATTTCTCCACTTCACAGCACATGCTCTGGACCCACGGGAGACAGGGAGTCATGAGGAGGAGGGAGGGTTTAAAAAAAAAAAAAACAAGCAAACTTGGTGTTTTAAGCACTGAAGTGGTCATAGTGATTGAAGAAACCATTTAAAAGGTGTAATCTATAAATTATAATAACCAAATTGCTAGGTAGATGACAAGTTATTTCGTATTATACATAGTTCACACTTTCTGGGCTCTACTGTTATCTAGTCTATGACTGTATCATACCATGAGCAGTGGGGCGAGCAATTATTCCCCCATATGAACCAATGGCACCCAACAACGCCTAGCTTTCACCTGCATGCTTGGTATTGTGGGGTGCAGTATTTGGGAATAAGGCAGTTCCTTGAAAAGTGCTTCATCAAGTCCAGTGTGCAGGGCAGTGTCTGAAAAACATCTCCAGGGACTAATAGTCAGGCAAGTTAATATTAATCTATACATTGGTTGGAGATTTTGGTATTACAGTGCAGAGATTATATTTATACTTAACTGCTTTGTTATTAGAGATTCAATTTAAGTAAGAAATGACAGGAATTATAATTCTATTTAAAGTTAATCAAATTTCAGGCCAAAGAAGTTAAAATGAAAAGCGAATTGTCTTAAGGGTTGTTGTCATTAGCTTGGCTAATATAGCTTGGTTGCTTCATCTAAGTGTTGCTTCTAAGTGTGTGGTTGAAGATATTCTGGAGAGTTTTACAGAAGCTTCAACTGTCTAAGAGTTGTGCTAAGAGTTTTCTTTTCTACTGTTACAGGTAAGATTCATCTGTAGGAAAAGGTTACTGATTGCACAATGTTTGATTTCCTGTTGGTAATTATAGGGCATTTGATTTGATTTGTTAGCTACTTGCTATTGATTGCTGTTTTATTAGCTATTGTTTGCAAATAAGCAGAGGCCTACCCAGGTGTTAAACATTCCTAGTGGGTGGTGATTTTAGGAGTTAAATAAGGCTTGTTGTCATTAGCTTGGCTAATATAGCTGGGTTGCTTCATCTAAGTGTTGCTTCTAAGTGTGTGGTTGGAGATATTCTGGAGGTAATCTGAGGTATTCAGGAGGATAAATAAAAGAAGTTAAGATTTGTTTGATTTAAATTATTCACCTCATTGGAATGGCAGACTTAGTTCAGTGTAAAAGTTGCTGTGCATTTGTTTCACGTTCCAATTTTTGGAGGTTTGGTTGTTGTCTAATCTGTAGACAGTTCTCTATCTTGCGGCAGGAGATTGTATTTTTGAAGTCTGAGATTTGTAAATTATCTGGTAAACAAACTCAGACTGGAACTGCTGCAAAGCCACTGCCGCAGAGACATACTAGGAATGGCAGATGGATTACTGTAGGATCTGGTAGACTTAGAGTTGTGGATAAAAGGCATATTGCACAGTCTGTTGCTCTACATAATTCATTTTCTGCACTTTCAGAGTGTAATGGTGTTATGGAGACATTCTCAGGCACCAGGTGTAGTGGTGTTATAGAGACAGGCACTGAGGATAGTGTTGTTGTGGAGACAGGCACTGAGGGTAGTGGTGTTGTGGAGACAGGCTTGGAGACTATGGTGAGGCCTAATAGAAAGCAGTTGTTGTTGGGGGATTCCATCATAAGAGGTGTGGAGATGGACAATGGTGGTCTTGTGAGGTGTCTTCCCGGAGCTACTGCTCACAGAGACAGGAGACGTATCTGTAATATTGTTAAGCGAGCAAAGCAAGAAGGGGAATTGGATGTACTTGTCCATCTAGGGACAAATGACTTGGCTTGCAATGAGGTTTCGGAGGTTAAGGAAGTTTTTAGTGTTTTTGCCAATGATATACAGCAGGTTGCTTCCACACTGTCATTCTCTGAAGTTCTGCCTGTGCATAAAACTCAGAACGACAGGCAGATACGTATTAGGGACTTTAATTTGTGGCTTGGTGAATGGTGTCGGCAGCAAGGATTTGGCTTTATTTCTCATCGTAGCTCTGTTTGGAATGGAAATAACCTGTACAAAAAAGATGGTTTGCATCTTTCTCAAAAGGGAACAAATGTTCTCAGTGAGCAGTTCAGAGGTTTTGCTAGGATGTATTTAAACTAGGAGGGGGGGGGGCAAAGGGGTGATAAAACATCAATCCAATTGTCCCCCAAAACAAGGACAGAAGGTGCCTGTAGCAAGTGTGTTAAAAAATGATAAGCTTAGTCATGTCTACAAATGCTCGCAGTTTAGGGAATAAGATCCATGAACTTGTGGCAATAATGGCAACTTATAGTGTAGATTTAGTCGCTGTTACTGAGACATGGTATAATGAGAAAAATGACTGGGACATAGCAATACCAGGGTACTCTTTGTATAGAAAAGACAGGGAAGGCAAGAAAGGGGGAGAGGTGGCCCTGTATGTGAGGGATAGCATAAAATCTAGCCTAATAAAAGTTAGTGAGGTGAACATACAGTTAATTTGGGTTATGTTAGAATTTGGTAATCACACAGTAACTCGTGTAGGTGTGATTTATAGGCCCCCAGGACAAATTGAAGAGTTAGATAATCTACTAGTTGAGGAAATAGCTAAAATGACAATGAAGGGGGAAGTTATCATCATGGGCATAGGATCTCCCCTGTCGGCTCATGCAGAGCCGGCGCTATCCGAGCGCCGGCTCTGCTCTCAGCCTCCCTCCCCACTGACCCACATGCAGGGAGGGAGGCAGGAGAGGACCCGGCGGAGCTATTGCCGGCAGCTCCGCCGGGTTCCTCTCGAGAGATATGAGCGTTGCCACGGCAACGCTCAAATCTCGCGAGAGTGAACTCTAGCCCCACAGGGGTTAGAGTTCACTCTCCACTGGACCACCAGGGATCACAGCAGCAAGTTTCCCCTCCTCCACTGGACCACCAGGGAAGGAAGCAGCAGCACTATCCCCCCTCCCTACAAAAGGTAAGAAGGGAGGGGGGATAGCAAATAATGTACCCCCACCTCCACCCCCCACAATCACCCACCCACAGACATACAACACACATTCAGCACACACACACATTCAGCACCCACAGACATACACAGCACCCACAGACATACACAGCACCCACAGACATACAGCACCCACACACATTCAGCACCCAGACATACACAGCACCCACAGACATACACAGCATCCACACACATTCAGCACCCACAGACATTTAGCACCCACAGACATACACAGCACCCACACACATTCAGCACCCACACACATTCAGCACCCACAGACATACACAGCACCCACACACATTCAGCACCCACAGACATACACAGCACCCACACACATTCAGCACCCACAGACATACAGCACCCACAGACATACACAGCACCCACAGACATACAGCACCCACACACAGCACCCACACACATTCAGCACCCACAGACATACAGCACCCACAAACATACACAGCACCCACAGACATACACAGCACCCACAGACATACAGCACCCACAGACACACACAGCACCCACAGACACACACACAGCACCCACACACATACAGCAACCACAGACATACACAATGCCAACACACATACAGCACCCACACACATACAGCACCCTCACAAACACACACAGCACACAAACAGCACCCTCACACACACACAGCACACTAACAGTACCCTCACAAACACAAACAGGACCCTAACAAACACACACACAGCACACTACCAGTACCCTCACACACAAACAGCACCCTCACACACAGTACATTAACAGCATCCTCACAAGCACGCACACACAAACACCCTCACCCACATAGCACACTACCAGCATCGTCACACACACATCACACTAACAGCACCCTCACACAGCACACACACACGCACACTAGTGTGTGTATGTGTGTGTGTGTATATATATATATATATATATATATATACACACACACACACATATATATACATAATACATATATATATGCTGCGTGTGCTTGTGCTTTAGGGTGCACACCCTAATGCAATAGGCTGCGCACGCCTATGATCATGGGTGACTTTAATCTTCATGATGTAAATTGGAAAACAAAAATAGCTGCTTGTGCCAGGAGCACACATATTCTAAACTCCCTACTGGGATTGTCTCTAAAACAAGTCGTTGAGGAGCCAACTCGTAAAGAGGCCATACTAGATTTTGTGTTAACAAATGGAGATTTGGTATCAGATATTACTTTAGGTGAAAGTTTAGGATCAATTGATCATCAGTCAGTGTGGTTTAATATAAGAACAGTGACTGAGTCACACCACACAAAAACAAAAGTTTTAGACTTTAGAAAAACAGACTTTTCTAAAAATTAGAATATGTGTAGAGGAGTCATTATCAGACTGGAGCAATTTAAATGGAGTCCAAGAGAAATGGGATTATTTGAAAGTTGCACTACTGAAGGCAACAGAAAACTGCATTAGGCTTGTCATTAAAAGCAAAAAATTCAAGAAACCACTGTGGTACTCCGCAGATGTGGCCAAAATAGCTAAAAACACAAAGTTAGCATTTAGTAATTATAAAAAAAAACAGAGTGAAGAAGACAAAATGATATATAAGATTAGGCAGAAAGAGGCTAAACAAGTTATAAGAGCTTCCAAATCACACACAGAAGAGAAAATAGCACAGTCAGTAAAAAAGGGGGAAAAAACTTTTTTTAGATACATAAATGAGAAAAGAAAAGTAAAACAAGGATTAGTTAGATTAAAACCAAAATAAGGAAGGTATGTAGAAGAGTATAAAGGTCTAGCTGACTGTCTCAATGAATATTTTTGTTCTGTATTTACAGATGAAAATGAAGGAAAGGGACCTCAGTTAAGAAAAAGGATAAATGAGTCATTTATTACACGTGAGTTTACAGAGGAAGAGGTTCTATTTCAACTGTCAAAAGTAAAGACACATAAGTCAATAGGACCTGATGGAATACACTCAAAGCTATTAAAAGAGCTTAGTGGTGTACTAGCAAAACCATTAACAGATTTATTTAACCAATCATTGTTAACAGGAATAGTCCTAGAAGATTGGAAGTTAGCGAATGTTGTGCCCGTTCACAAGAAAGGTAATAGGGAGGAGTCGGGCAACTATAGGCCAGTAAGCCTTACTTCAGTAGTGGGGAGAGTGATGGAAACCATGTTAAAGGATAGGATTCTTGAACATCTAAAAACACATGGATTTCAAGATCAGAGACACAACATGGGTTTACTTCTGGGAGATCATGCCAAACTAATCTTATTGATTTTTTTGTTTGGGTAACTAAAATTATAGATCAGGGTGGTGCAGTAGACATTGCTTACCTAGATTTCAGGAAGGCTTTTGACACTGCAGTTTATTGATAAGCCTTCAATGTGCTACAGTCTTTAAGTTTTGATTCTAATATTGTTGAATGGGTAAGGCAGTGGCTGAGTGACAGGCAACAGAGGGTTGTAGTCAATGGAATATATTCAAAGCTTGGAATTGTCACCAATGGGGTACCTCAGGGATCTGTGCTTGGACCCATTCTCTTTAATATTTTTATAAGTGATATTGCAAAAGGTCTTGATGGTAAGGTATGTCTTTTTGCTGATGATACTAAGGTATGTAACTGGGTTGATGTTCCAAGAGGGATAAGCCAAATGGCAAATGATTTAGGTAAACTAGAAAAATGGTCATAATTGTGGCAACTGACATTTAATGTGGATAAGTGCAAGATAATGCATCTTGGACGTAAAAACCCAAGGGCAGAGTACAGAATATTTGATAGAGTCCTAACCTCAACATCTGAAGGAAAGGGATTTAGGGGTGATTATTTCTGATGACTTAAAGGTAGGCAGACAATGTAATAGAGCAGCAGGAAATGCTAGCAGAATGCTTGGTTGTATAGGGAGAGGTATTAGCAGTAGAAAGAGGGAAGTGCTCATGCCATTGTACAGAACACTGGTAAGACCTCACTTGGAGTATTGTACACAGTACTGGAGACTGTATCTTCAGAAGAATATTGATACCTTAGAGA